CTCTCACACTGCCACTGCTGAACTCGCATACTGCCACAACTGAACTCTCACACTGCCACGGCTGAACTCGCATACTGCCACAACTGAACTCTCACAGAGCACGCCACAACTGAACAGGTTCAGTTCCACAGTAGCACGCACAGTTGCATGCCCCCACTCCCCCAATAAGACATGACAATGGCAGTAAGCACAGACTCTCAGCTCATTTTTCTTGCCAGTGCTCAGCAAGGGTGTGTTGGAGTCGTACTGTCACATGTGAGTCATGTGAGTACAAGAATGGTCATGATTACCACGACCGAACCCAGGCCAAGAAACCAACCTTTCAGGCTGGTAGTGGCGTTTTGTAAATCGGACCCAAGTACTTGCGAAACTGGACAAGTGGAGTGTTAGATCCATCTCCAGCAACCTCAATCAGCAAAGCTGCCAAACAAAATGATGGGCAGAAGTGCTTGTGCATGATTCCGTTCATACACTTGCTCAAGTCTGCTGCTTTCTTGTTTGAGTCAGCAGTGTAGTCACGGGACACTGCAGTCAGCACCTCAAAGAATGAACAGCAGAAGGTACCACAGAGGACGACGATCGGCTGATTGTTTCTGAGTCTGGACTATAACATCACTATATAGTATAATATACTATATGTAACAATACAAACTAGTTACTAGTTTGATTACTGCAAATTCTAGGATTCTAGAAGGCAAGCACTGCACCAATTCCATTTCACTTCCATTTTTTCCAAGGCACCAACAAGTCTGCCAGAACCAACTTGAAGTCTGACATCCCCCCACTTGCGACCTTGGACCTCAATCCATCGCAACTTGCGCGCAACACCTGAGCGGGCTCACCAAGAGCAGACAGAGCCAATCCAGGATGATCAAGGATTTGGGTGATTTTGTCCAGGTTGGTAGCAATCAGGTTGGTCATGAGCAGGGACTTTGTGCAGCACAAGTAGAGGAAATCGGAAGCACTCTCTTGCAAAGCTGGGTAGAACTTCTTGGGTTCACCAATGCGATCCTCTGTGCTTGCAGACTGTCGGGCATTCACTGTCTTGGACAAAAGTTCCTGCAACAGCTTCGAGTCAGAAGAAGCATTGATCGTGCCATGGAGAGCTGTGACAAACTTGTCGACCTCAAGGTCCAAAGCGCTCAAAGACTGTTTGAGACAATTCCGAAGAACTTCCCCATATGCCAATGGAACCATCCTCAGGCGTGTGACTGTAATGCTGCTCAAGCCGGAAACTGCGGCTTTCTTGAACACCTTCTCTGTTTCCACCAACTTTTGCAGCACGTCGAAGCTACCAGGGATGGATGTCAAGGCTTCACCAATCTTGGACACTCTCCCACAGTGTGTTGCCCTCAGGGCTTCTGGCTGATTGGGTGTGTTCTCAATCTCTTCGCCCAAGGTCTTAAGTGACATCGCCTCTGACAGTTGCTCGGCACATGACAAGACAGCATCAGCCGCCTCAATGTAGATGGCACATCTGCAACATGCCTGAAGGTTGACCTTGCCGCTGGCAAACTCAATTCAGCACTGGGGTCATTTGCATAGGTTGCCATGAAGGCTGGCAAGTCAAATCCCTTTGGTACTTCAAGACGGGAGCCCTTGGGGATGTTCTCGCGATTGATGAAGTCCTGCACATCAGCTGCTGTGTTGGTGCAAATTCCTGTCAAGAACTTTTGGTAGTGGTCGAAAACTGACGTCAAAGAGGACCCTGCCAATCCCGCAATCCATTGTTGGAAATCTTTCAAGGCAAATTCCCGAAGCGAAGGGCCAAGTTCAGAAAGCGCCCATTTCAAGCCAGATGTTTTCAATACTTGGACCTCGTTGTAAGACTCCAAGCACTGCATCAGGTCGGTGATCACTGTGCTGCAAAGATCGCTGAGCTTTGCTGCACAGGAACTCGTTTTCCTGGCCCTCCTTGCATGCTGGTTGGTATGGTTGAATCAAACCAAACTTAACATGTTACATTTACATTTCATTTTTACATATGATGCATCATAACATAACAGCATAACAATTCAATACTTAGCTGGCTGTGGCTGTGGCTGTGTTTTTTTCACAAATCATATTTCTCTCAATAATACAAATTAATTAATTAGAATGAAGCTGAGGATCATCCATTCTACTGCTGCAAACGTGCGCCCGAAAATGTTTGTCATAGATTTCAACACATCGAGAAGCTCATTGTGAATCTCCATGCCCAATACACTCGCAGTGTCAACATTGAGCAAAAGGCGAGGGTTGCTGTCAGCCAACTTCTGAAGGACCTGGATGGTAGCAGTCCAATCTGGAGATTGATTCGCAGCATCCTGCTGTCCAAAAGTTCCAGGACAAAGTACGGTAGCAAGTGCTTGATCTGGATTTGGAATCTTGGCCTTCAAGGCTAGGATCAGACCAGTTTTGAGCCCGTCTGCTAATAGGCGCTGTGTCCCTCGAATAAGTTGAATCTCGGAGGAGTGTGATGACATGAACTTCTCACTTGCAGAAGAGGTCACGATGTTGATCTTGGCTGACAACTCTGACCATTCATTCTGAGACGTCAGCTTGACAGTTCCATCTGCTTGAATCAAATCTTGGGCTGGTGGAACATTCAGCGATGCGGCCAACTTGCTCCTGACGACGGATTTTGTCATGCTTTGGCTGAGAGGCAAACACACAATATACTATATACAATATAATATATAACAATATGAATTTTATGTTCAGGATTCTTACAGGGGCTTCGCATTAAACTTTTTTAGACCTGTGTCTCTTTTGTGTGTTGTTTCTTGTCTGTCTCCATCTACAACTTCAGCCGGCTTTCGTAATATTTGTTAAAAGAGGATTGATAGTCCCTGGGCTCTAGACTCCTTTTCAGCCAAGGCTCGCAGTGTTGAGTCCTGAACGCAAGGTAGCTTCAGCGTGAAATGCAGCTAGTGAATCTTGAACACTCTGCATCAGCCGTACGCCCAAGGGAAATGCAGTCATTGCCTTCAATAGCTTGGCATTCTTGGAAGACAGCACAGTGCGTGCCTTTTCCGCAGCAGAGACTTTGTCTGAAGCACTCTCTTCCTCTTCCACTGCCACGAATTGGCATAGAGTCTTCAAGTGCGCAAGCTCTGAGCAAACAGCATCCACTGAAAGTTGAGAAGACATCCATAGCTGAGATTGGGAGACCGATGTGATCAAATCCTCCAGGCTGAGACATCTTTCCTTCGCAACATCTACTTGAGCTGACTGTTGGCAAGGCAAAGACTGCCGCATGACAGACTCAACTGCGTGAATCAAGCCACGATTGCGAATTTCAGCCTTGGAGTCATCTTGCACGTTCGCTAGGCCACTTGAAAGCTTCTTCACAAACTTATCCCAGTCACCAGCTTCTGCCAGAGTTGATATCTCTCTGACAGCCAGGATGTCATCAACTTCTTTTGTCACAGTAACCCCTGACTTTCTGGCTTGCTCCAATGCAGTTGCCAAGAAACCGTGGTGAAAAGATTCGCCCTGGTGCGCTGTCAAGGATGATACCAAAGGCGCTGCAGCTGTGAGTTTTGCCTTTAGCTGCCTAAGAGTGGCCACCACTCGTAGACCCCGTGCCTGTTGCTCTCCATCTGCATCTGCTCCAACACAGCTAGCAACAACGTCTGGTTCAAGGCGGGCTGATACTTTGGAAGAAAGCGTAGCAATCTTTGCATCTGTCACCATGAAAATCCCCTCGACATCGTCAAAGTTCTGAATACACTCAGCAATCTCTGTAGACAGTGCATCGCTTTTGTTGATCTCTTTTGAGGCAGTCTTGGAAGCCTTCGAACTCGCTGTTGCTGATCCAGTGGATGGCAAGCCTCCTACGTTGAAACCAGCAAAAACATGAGATTTGCTATCCGGCAAGGAAGAGGTCGTCTTCTTGGCTTCACTTGTTCGAGCCCTCTTCGAAGGTTCTGGTTCGGCTGGTGGAGTTTCTGGTTTGGCTTCATCCTCTGGTGCAGTTTCTGCCTGTGATTCATCCTCCTGACCAATTTCGTTACCCGAACCAAAATCTCAGTACGTTGATAGAAAACACAAACTTTGGACGGCAAGTCATGCCAACACATCCCCAACTACACTTCACTACACTCACTACTTTACCACAGTGACTACACTGCACATATCAAGCCACATGACCCAATCTCTCCTGATCCTCGAGTGCGGCCACCCGTCGGCGCTTATTGCCAGGACCAAAGGTACGGTTACCCCACAAATCATCAAGATCTGCCATCAAGTCATCAGGAGCACCACTAGAGGCTTTGGAGTTTGCAATGCTGACAAGGCCATCTTCCTTCACGTCAACTCCTGCACAATACGAGAACTGTTTTTCTTTGTATAGCAATAGTGAGTTGGAGGTTTAAGTTTAAGTCTAAGTTTTATTTTGGTAAGTTAGTTTAGTAACAGTTTGAGATCGGTACTCCAGGCCTATCTATCCTGGAAACACAGTGTACTCCAGGCCTATCTACAGTATCTTCCTCACCTACATTGATTCTGAAACTACCAATGTACAATTGCTTGAATCGGTTGTCACTAAATTCAATACACACGCTGAATCCTCCCGGCACGGCTTTCTTTTGCGCAGCATGCCATAGAGCATCCATCTCTTCGTCGTCAATCGCATTAGCACTGTTGAGGAGCTGGCCATCCTGTTCAAGTGCTGTGTATTTTCTATTAGTACACAGTGCATGTGTATTTAATACTTAATAAAGTTAAGTCAAGTATGCTGGGTACACCGGCATAGCGATGAAAACACGTGCTTGCGGCTCTTGGACTTTCATTTTCATTGTACTTACTTCCCAGTCCTAGGTCCTAGGTCCTAGATGTCCCAGCATCTCAAAAGTCGAACATGCTGCTGCTAAGGCCTAACTAAGAAAACAGACACAAACCTTTGGACCACCTGCCTTCTGCACATACCGCACATCGTCCGAAATGATCGCAATGGTGCCGACAGGCCTGCCGTGAGTCTCGTCAAGAATCACACCTCGAACCTTCTTGCCGTTCACGACCATCTCAACCACTGGCATAGTTTTGGGAGGTTTCACTTTCTTGACCCTTTCATACACGGCGATGGGCCACAGGTAGCCCTTCAGCTCTTCCAATCGGAATGATGACTTTTGCCTAGGCTTCCGCAATCAAACGCCAGTCATAGTCTGAGTCTCACCACTAAGAAATTACAATAATATAATTAGTAATTAGTAACTAGTAAGTATGTATATGTATATAGTATATAATATATATATATAGTGAAATATATATATATATTTACATATATATATATGTGAGAATATCTACAGACTTGCATTGAGCAAAAAGATGACAAACAGCAAAAAGGTACCGTATTTTGATAAATAGAATATGGTATTTTAATATGTAACAAAACTATTGCTATTGGCTTCAGGTTACCCTGCATTCACAGCAGAGCCGGAGCTGCTTGCTTTCCTCTTTTTCCCCGTCGCCTCCCATTTCTTGGTGTTCTCCTCAAGCTTCTCACGCTCAAACGCTTTCACCCCTTCCACGTAAGCTGGCCGTTCAGACTCATCCGCCAAAGTTGCTTCAACCTGACCCACCGATGGATGGATAGTTATTATTTTTAAAATTAAAATTATTATAGTTGGATAGTCGAGTCTGGAAGAATATTTAACAAAGGACACATGGAATCGCTTTCCTGCCCTCAATTGCTGAATGCTAAAATGTAATTTAACATGTGGTTGAGGCAAGCCTAAGTTATATTGTAAAATCTTGTAGTTCTAGATTGTGGACTCGTAGGCTCGTAGACGTCGTAGACCCCAAAAACATCAACAACAGATACTTTCTCAAGCTCAGGCACGGCGTGGGTGCGGAACTTGTCTGGGGTGTCCTTGCGAGCCTGAAAGTTGGCGCAAGATGTGCAGACGTTTCCGCGCGGGCGCCTCCACTTCAGGGTCAAAGAATTTGTGCACTGTGCTTCCTCCAAACAGCAAGTGGTATTTCGAGTCAACCATCGTGACCGCAGCCACCACTTGCACTTGGTGTCTGTTGTATCTGGAGGAATTTGCAAGTCTGGCCACTCTTCCCCTTCATCCGACATAGCCCAGGGAGGTCAGAAGAGGCTAGCAAAAGGTACCGGCGAGCCTACTGTTCCTGGGATTGAATTGAGCTAGCGGTAGCGGGCATGGCCAGAACACACCTCAAAGCATCTTGGAACATACTGCAAAAGTTTCTAAAGAGCACAAGACAAGACCAGACAAGACCTGGCTGAAGCTTCAAGCAAGTGTCCAAAAAAGAACACAACACATATGCTGTTAATCTTGACACATATGGCTGAGTTATCCGTGTGCTGACCTTGCATGTTTTCAATTTTCAACCAGTTTGCACTCTGCAGTCTCTCGTTTGAAGTCGTTGAATTGAAATCGCAATTTGAAGGCGACTCCTGTACACTGACTGTCCTAAGAGAGTCCCATGACTCCCACGACAAGGGTCATGTCCATGCCAATCCATGCCATAATCATCTCTACTGAACTGCAGCTCCACAAAATCACAAGGAGTCATCCTCCTGATCACTGTCATCATGCTGGTTCTCGACAGGTTTGCACATGCTCTGCTGCTTGACCCTGCAGAGGAAATTCCTTGCCATGAAGACCACTGCGCAGAGCATAGATGCCGTGCAACAGGAAGTCTCGTACGCGTTCCCGGCCAAATCCTGTAAAAACGAAGAAGTGTACTTCTGCAGACGGTTGACATCCAGCCAAATTCCTTGGTAGCGGAGACTTTCTGCGCCTGTGACATATCTCACATTGCGCGTCAAGAATTTCAATCCGTCAGGTGTAATACACGGCATTTTCCCTGATGTGATGTTCGCAAAGCCCAAGTTTTGAGACAGATCGACAACTCGGAAGGAGGAATCGGGAATATCCACGCCTTTGAGACACAGAAGCTCAAGCTGCCGTCTAGTGAGGCTCCTCAAAACCGGGAAGCTGTCCCCAAGAACTGCGCTTGGTCCCGAAAATCCACTTCGGTCCTCAACAGAGCAATGAAGCAACATAGTCGACATAGTCACGTCCAAATGCTTGAAGTTCAAACTCTAAACCGATAATATAAACAGTTGACTCGTACAGTGCTGCACAGTGTGACCCAAGTGTCAGAACAGTGAGTCCATAAATATCAATAATATTAAAATCAATAATATACTAATATCTGTATTTGATTATTGATACATGAACCGAACGGAGAAAGCCTTCCACGAACTTCTGTCCTTTCCAAGTTCTCTGAAGGCATCAGCGTGCTTGGCCACCCATTTGGCCCCAGGAGGATAGCTATTCTGTGGATCTGTTTTCCGACGCTTTGAAGGAAATGCACCGGGCAAAATGCCCTCTGTTTGGAAGAGTGTGTCAATGCGCAAGCCGCGCTCAGATCTTGCACCTTCGTGTTCCTCCGCCTGCGCATGAGCATGATCTGTCCTCAGGAAATCCTGTACTGACAAATTTTTGAAGGTGTGTTGCAATCTCTGGAGGCGGACAGCAGCAGAGGACTCGGGAAGTAAGTAGTCAGCAGGGTGGCAGGGCTGCACACCTGCCAATGAGTTCATGATTTCATCGAGCACACTGTGAGCACACTCCTCTGTCATGCAAAGGTCTTCCAAGCGAAAGGATAATCCCCAAAGACGCTGCCTCTGCTGCCCGCTTCCAAACTGCTCACGGCTGTCAAGGTGCCAGCAATGAGTGAACATCCCAGCCTCATTCCTCAAAACAGCCACGACTGCGGACAGATTGGACGGACCCATCACGGTTGGCTCCTTTTTCTTGCTGCCTTCACAGCCTGAAACCTGCTGCGTAGGTTTGGCAGCTAGAGGGATCACGTTCTCAAACTGGAAACAACGCACCTTCTTCTCAGTCAAGTAGTTTGCGATGGCGCGGAATACCGATCCCGTCCGCAAGGAGCCCTGCACACACAGCAGTTTACGTACATATGAATTAGAAGGGCATACGGGTTTGAAACTGTACTAAACAGTCAATAGTCAAATGTACAGTTCGAGAGTTCAAGATGTGTTTTTAACTGGCGATGGAGAGATTTATGGATTTGTGTTGATGTTTACGTTTCTTAGTCTTAGTAGCTCAGTTGTTTCTTGCTTATTTAGTAGGATGATGTGAAGATATTGTTTAATTAATTAATTATTATGTAGCAAAGAAACAAAGGTGCCTCAGCAATGCAAAGTCTGTGCTTCTCTGTTGCAGAGGCTGGATGCAGGGCACTTGCATCATCGCATGGGAATCCAGCACTTATAATTTGCGCCACTTCAGGTACTTCCTGAAGTGCATCATCATACAAATGTCTCATAGTCGGGCAAAAATCGCGAAGAAATTCTTGTTTTGCACGATCTTTCTCCACGCTGAACACATGATCAAGCTCTGGTAGACCCCCGTGACCAATACAGAGCACCTGCTCAGCAATTGCCAAAAGCGTTGTGAGACAGGTCACGGCACAGTCTGTGCCTGAACAAAATGTCCCGAGCGTCCACCCAAGAAAGGCTTCATTTTGCCTGAGCGCTTCAAGTTGCTCAAAGAATGGATACAGAAAGTTGCTCAGTGATGAATTTACAAAATATATAAAAATGTATACATACAAATCAAATTTAATCGTGTAGATGTAAATAAAGTAGCTTCTCACTCTCCTTGTTTCTATTGCTTCTTGGAGTCCCCGAAATCCTACCTCTGCTGTGAATCTGAGTCGATTACTACTCAGTAGATTGAGTAGATGAAACGAACAGGCGAGGTTATGGTATTATATTTATATGTATTTGATATATTATATATTCCATATCTAAGTATGAAAAAACACTATGACATATGACATATTTAGTAACTTTATTTTATTATATTATATTCATTCTACTTGCTGCCTGAACACAAGAACACTTTCAGAGCATCCTTGTCTTCGTGACTGAGTCCTTCCAACCACATGGTCAGGAGTTGGGCAAGTCTATTTGGTCCTGCGGGAACTTCATTCCATCTTCTCGAAGAAACTGGGCGAACAGGCTGCACATGAGGGACATCCCCCTTCTGCCATGCAGACATCACGTCAAACGGGGCCGCAGACATGGCACTATGGAATTGGAGAACGCTGGCCCTTGTCAATGTCGGGAACTTATTTTGTATGAAAATCATCCCTTCGTATTGAAACCGTTTGCGCAACAGCGGGCGGCCGCTTGAAGCCTTGTGTGCACTGCATTGTTCGCACCGCCCAAGTCTCACAGCAAAAAAAACATATGGAGGTGCTTGTGAACATGAACTTGAAGCTCATCAGGCCCTACTCTCTACTCTACTCAACCCTACTCAACTCAACTCAAAATACTCTCACAACCTAACAAGACTGCTCGAAACTGTCGACCTGTTTTCTCCACAGTCTCAGTTTCTTGACGTCTCCGACTCATTTTCAGAGAGCAACTCGCGCTATGCAACCACATCCTCAAGCTTCAGGCAGCCTGGCAGTCGGGAAAGTGGATCCCACAGTCCGATTTGCAAAAGCGAATGTCAAAAGACTCCGGTGGTCAAAAATTGGGCTATCAACTCCCTTCCAACAAGACTAGTTGGTGAGCCCAGATTATTGCAAAAAGTGGTGGCAATGGAGCCTTTTTGGGTGTGCCAGTTTGGTGTGCCGGAGTGTGGCAGTTCGGACTGCCACACCTACTGCCACGCATGTGGCAGTACCTACTGCCACGCCGCTATTCCTTGCTGTGGCAGTGTGTGGCAGTAGGGTCTGCCACAGGTGTGGCAGTGGGGTCTGCCACAGGTGTGGCAGTACCTGCTGCCACATCCATTTTGAGCTCTCTCTGGGGCAATTGGGGAGATAGGTCAGCAACATCTGCTGAGAATTTACTGCCATGATAAGGGTTAAAGTTTTGGAATCTTGATCCAAATTCCAAATGTTGGTTTCTTTTGCTTCGAGTTGAAAGCAAACTACAACATAAAACTCTGGCAATCCTTTGACAAGTTTGGTGTGCTGTGGTTAGGGTTTGACAAACAGAAACAACAAATCTTGGAGCTCGAACGGAACGAACCCGAACACCCAGACTAACCTTTGAGTCATAATGATATGACTTGCGACTTATAGTCTAGAGTCTAGAGTCTACAGTAGTACTGTCCCCCTGTTTCCTCCGACACGCTTCCAAGCCTCCAAGCATTTGGGCCTCTCAATTCAAGAAGAGATCCAACGTGTGAAAGCCTGCGCATGCTGGGACCGGAAAACTTGACGTGAGTCAAAAGTGTGCTTGTTTATCAAGACTTGAACTGAGTCAAATCATAGGCTCACAGGATGGTGAAATATTCAGCCCAAGTTCAATCCCTCCACGGAATCTGCGAGCCTGGTATTCAGAATCTGTCGGAAGAGAGCCTGTCCGGATTTCAAGTGCAAAAAAATGAAACGGGTATTTGGACGTGAAGTTGTGTGAGCTCCTGTATCCGTAAACTTAGATTCTAGATAGATAAATAGATTACCGTAACGCCGTAACAGTAACAGGTAGTGGCTGCTGAAGAAAAAGCACACTTCAAGGCACCTTATTTTGTCACGTCCCATTCGTTTCTGACTGCAAGCCGATGTTTCTCAGGCTTCTCAGGCCTGAGCATTTCTGACCTGTCACTACTCAGCCTGACCATTCCTGACCCAATAAGTCAACCATTCTTGCATGCTAAAACAGTTTGTTTGAGTCAGTTTACTGACTCATCTCATTGCTAATTCGCCAGAAGCTTTAACATTGAAAAATGAGCCAACAAAGGCTCAGAAAGTAAGCCCCTAGCAATTCTGATTCCGATTTCATTCAAACTCAAAGTCATCTCAATTCGCAATTCGTTCGAGAACGCGATCTCTCGAGAAACGCCTAGTTGATAGGAGAGCCCACGGCGTTTCTGGCTCCCAACCTCGAAAGAACCTCGTGGTATAATCCATAGCAACTGGTGGCGCATGCCAAGTGACGCATGACCACTGGACTTTCTTCTGCGGTTTCTTCTTCAAAATGCTAGGCTTTGGGAGCGTAGAGTGATGTGGCCCAATCCACTCATCGCAAGGATTGGCTTTTCGAAATGCTGGATTGGGACCAAGCCGCCAAGGACTTGGAGTCCGCTCTGGCGCTGGCACTGGTGCTGATGGTGCCGGTGCGGCCTCAGCCGATTCGGTGTCTGAACTCGATGTTGATGACGAACTTGATGATGATGATGATGATGTTGATGGCATTTTGGCCCGAGATGATGTTTGCCTTTTTCTTGATGTACCTTTGGCCCTCGATGACTGCGGCTGCTTGCTTGCTGTACTTTTGCCTTTGCCCTTCGATGGCTGTTGCTGCTGTTTGGGCTTGTCGTCTTTCGAGCCAGCAGCAGCTGTGTTTGTCTGACCTTTCATGCGATGCAGAGCTGTCGGCGTAGTCAACGTTCTCGATTTCTTTGAAGTCGAATCATGATCGTGTGTATGAGTATTTGCCTTTCTTTTGGAGATTGCTGACTCACACTTGGCAGTGACAGACTTGGACTTGAACTTGGACTCCGACTCCGACTTGAACTTGGTGACTGTCGTCTGAGTCTGATCAGTAGTAGTCACAGTAGTCGCAGTCCCTGTGGTCATAGTATCTATCTTGGTCCTTTTCCTTGTCTTGACCACTGTCTCAGTCGTAGCTGTCTTAGCTGGGGCCTGTGAAGCCGTGCTCGACACCTTCTGCTCGCATGAGGATTGCTTCTTCGACGAAGCCTTGGCCTTCGGCATTCTAGGCATGGCGTCCTGGGAGCACCACGTCTCAGAAGGCAATGGAAATCGCAATCTGTTAGAATTAAAATTGCAAGTGGTGGAAGCCAAAATGGCTGCGGTGAGACAGGTCTGCGTCTTGGCAATCCAGTGCTGCGACATGTACCATAATGTACCCGACTACGTGACCACATTGTACCCAGACTCACTGATCCATCCAATTATTCAATAATTCAATAAAACGATCGATCTGTCAATCCACCCAGCCTGAAAATATAGAAGCTGGCCAAAGCATCAAGGAAAGATTCTCATACCTGTGGAGTTTTGCGGCCAAATCTCGTATCTGAATGCATAAGGCAGACTGCTGACTAGACTCGACTAGAGACTAGTGACTAGAGTCTAAGTCTACTGTAAGTCTGAGTCTTAGTGAAGAACCTCAAATTGTGAAACCATCTCAAGTGTCCAGTGTTCCAACAGTGTTCTTCATTATCATGTTCTCCGTTTGTTTCACCTGCAGACTGCAACCCATCAATCTTCCATGAAACCAGCGTCAAAGCCTTTGACAAAGATTTGGCCCTGTGCGACATGACTAGACTTACTGCGATGAGCAAAAATAAATAGAATACATAATGAACATGTATTAATAAATCCAGTGCTGAGACATGTACAATGTACAATATGTGACTACATGACTACATTGTACCCAGACTCACTGATCCATCCAATAAATAATAATTCAATAAAACGATCGATCTGTCAATCCACCCAGCCTGAAAATAGAAGCTGGCCAAAGCATAGAGTCAGATGGCCCAAGGCCTTTCCGGGCGCTACAATGTTGTGACAGGTTCACTAGCAAATGTAACATTGCAGCAATGAAGTTGTTAAGTAATGTTCCTGGTGAACATTGATTTGCTAGTTTAAGTAGTCTTTCAAGAAGACTATGACTAAGACTAAGAGTCTAAAGTCGAAAGTCTCAAACCTCAACTCCTTCCTGCCTTGCAAAGTTGTTCATGTTCTAGGCCCTAGGCGCTGGGCCTCTAGGGTTCATCCCAGCAACCACCCGTAGATTGTAGGACTGAAGATGGTGATCATCCTTGCTAGTTCCAGGCCCGTCAGCAATCCAGGAGCATAGTGCATCAAAAAGATCCTTGCGCTGCTTTGCAGATGTCTCCCCCTTTGACGACAACCGAAGCCAGCATTGACATGCTTTTGCCTTCTTCTCCTTGTGGACATCGCAGACTGCCTTCAGACCACTTGCGATGCTAAGCTGTTCTGCAGTGCTAATCGTACCAAGTCTTGTTTGGCAGTCTGGGCTGTCATAGACTGAAGCCACAATGCTTGACTTGCTGTTGTCATTGAGCTTCACCACGCATTGGCCACTACCAACGGTGAACATGCGTTCTGTAGATTCAAGCATGTCAACAAATGACACTGAGCCAATTTTCAACGGTCTTCGTTGGGAGGATGAGGCTGGGGCCACTTCTGCAGGAGTTGAATCGGCTGATTGCATCATGCTATAAGCACCCCCATCTCCAAAAATGCAATCTTGAGGTAAAGCAGAGAGGGAAGGATCTTTGGTCAGATTCTGGAGAGCAGCACTGACCTCTTTGTTGTCAATCTCAAGTTCGGTCTCATCAATGGGTGAAGCCCTGGGTTTGGCCTTGGCTGAAGTTGAAACACCGCTGTAACAGTCAGTTATCAAAAAGGACACCACCCTTTCCAAATCTCTTCCTGTATTATGTTATTTTCATAGTTTGAAGATTCTTCATTGATTCATGGGGCCTTTTGAATAGTCTTTTGAATATAATATAATATATCCAAAAGATTATGTCCAATATATTATATAATTACAAAAACGTGCAAAAAAGCATACAAACATTACAGCCAAACGCAAGGCGGCACACTTCTTCACACGCAGGGGAATCCCTACCAAATGACTCCTTGTCAAGCTCAAATTCATCGAAGCAGTCTTTGGTATCCAAGGGCGCTAGCTTCTTGTCCTTACTGACCCAAAAGAGCAGTCACTGGAACACAATAGTCAATAGTGAAATAGCACTAGCCCTTGAACTGAAAAGCTTCCAGTAGTGAAAATACAATACAATACAAGGTTCCAGCTCGCTCTGGTCATTTGGTGGTTGAATGTTGGTAGCAGCAGTGGCGTCAGTGTCACGAACCTTGCTGGCATACTCCTGTCGTGCAACGCGCTTCTTATTTGTTGTGTTTCTTGATTGATTGAAAAACAACAAACAACCTTTGCAAACGAGTTTGATTTCAAGTCAAGGCTGAGTAACCGATGTGTAAAGCCTGTTGGAGTGGCTAGAATTGCAGTGACACTTAGAGTTAGAGTACAGCTAGAGTCAGAGTTGAATTG